CCCCCCCCCCCCCCTGGCCCCCCCTGGCGGGTGAATATACATGCATATAGTTCAATGGTTCAAATTCCGCAGGTGTAAACTTAACATTCTGCAGGTATGAATTTAAATATTCTGCAGGTATAACTTAAATATTCCGCAGGTATAAACTTAATATTCCGCGGGTATAAACTTAATATTCCGCAGGTATGAACTTAACATTCCGCAGGTATAAACTTAACATTCCGCAGGTATAAACTTAACATTCCGCAGGTATGAACTTAATATTCCGCAGGTATAAACTTAATATTCCGCAGGTATAAACTTAATATTCCGCAGGTATAAACTTAATATTCCGCAGGTAGCTATAAACTTAACATTCCGCAGGTATAAACTTAATATTCCGCAGGTATAAACTTAACATTCCGCAGGTATAAACTTAATATTCCGCAGGTATAAACTTAATATTCCGCAGGTAGCTATGAACTTAACATTCCGCAGGTATATAAACTTAATATTCCGCAAGTATAAACTTAATATTCCGCAGGTATAAACTTGACTTTCAGCAACAAAGCAATTATTTTGCCAAGCTATTATTATAGTTTTACGGCATTTTTAAGGAGGAGAAGCAACATTAAAAGAAAGTGCACATGGCCCCTGTGGGCCACCGTACCATAGACCTACGCCCCTTCGGAGACACCAACGGGCAAAGAGCAACTATACAACAGTTTATGCGGCGCTGCAGCGGCGCGAGAAACAATCACACTTGTAAGCTAGCAATAAGCTTAAAATATGTAAATTATTTAAAAATCAAAACTTCTTCAACGTTCCGCTGTTCTATCGAACGAGCCGGGCGCCCGAAATCTTAAACGAAAAAGCACTATTAATTATTAACCATGCACCTCATTGCTTCAAGACAGTTCAACTTACCATGACACAGTGTTTTTATCATGTCGAGTGTCAGAACGCTTCGGGCATCCCGCTGTTCAAACTTGACAAAGCGATTTTCATCAATATTCCGGGTTTCGAATGCCTTGTGTGCAGTAACGTAGTCATCTGGATAAGTATTTTGCTCCTTAGTGTGTCCCGACACGTCCGCCATGATAGTAAATACGTTTAGGATGGTCAATCGAGGCGAACAAATTGAGGGTACTTGATGAATAGGTAATAGCCTGTGAAAATTCCTCGAATGCTTGCAACCTCGTATCCAGGGCTTCTGCGCTTATTGCTTCTGAGAAGCGCAGAAGCCCTGGATACGAGGTTGCAAACATATCAGGAATTTTGCTTCTGCGCAATCTTCTCCGCTTGTTGCTCTCAAAAGCAGTAAGCGCAGAAGCCCTGGGTACGAGGTTGGGCATGCTTGTCGACCCCATCCTCTTTGCCAGGGTCTCGCGGACGCGTACGACCTTCATACTGTCGACTCCTAGGCTGTTGCCCAGCTGCGTTACCCAAATCTGGATAGTTGATTCTGACTGGTCATAGTTAAACTCAGTAGATGCCGACTGGCTGAATTCAAATGTCAGCAAAGTTCTGACTTTGAATTTAAGGTAAAGCAAATCACATCACGATATTTCCAACTCTTTTTGTTCATTTGGATAACATCTTAATCTGATATACATCAAAAACATTTTTGCATAGAAAAAAAAAAATTTACAATGAACAACAAGTGTCAAGAAAATATTATTTCAACTTTGAAAATCAAAGTGAAGTCCAACATTCGTACAATTTAAGTCCAGCCAATTGGAATCCATTAAGGTCAATCGTGACCAATGAGAATCATGCACTCAGATCTGGGTAGCGCTGCGGGGGTTCGACAAGCTATACCAGGAATAGGATTATACAGTGGCGTATTCCTAGCCTCCTCAGCAAGCAACTGTGTAGTTCTGCAACGTTAAATTATGTGTAATATCAATACTATAAAAGATTTATGAGGAACGTAGGAAATAGTCCATGATACGATATAATTGGCCTATAAAAGGCCTACATTATCCACAAGCCTCCCTATTTTTCCGCCCCAGGCCTTTTTGTTCTATGTTAATTATATTCTGACGACATTGTAGACATACTATGCGTTTTCCTAGAATATTTTGTTTCTAATTCAGTTAATTAATTAAGTGTAATATATATAAAGTATCCCATGCTTATGGATTCAATCCAATGACCCTAAACACATTTTAGATAACTATTCATATTTGAAGAAGCATTATACCTGAAAGAAAAAAACAACAAATAGATACGAGGGTTCTGAGGGAGTAAAATGGGAACTGAAATTTCCCCAGAGGCGCTGGAGCCGCCTCCGTTGCCCAAACAGTGCGGGGACAGTACGGGGTGATGGCTTTTTTACAATAACTCGTGAAAGAAAGTCGTGCGTTATTCACATGAATTTAAATTGAGAAATGTTTTCTAGCAATTTATAAGCTCAAATTGCTTGAATCTGAAATTCCTCTCAGAAACATTACCAAGTTTTCCACCTTTGTGAACACTAATACTATCAATTCAGTATAAAACATATAGTAATTATAAAGAAAGTTTAAATTTTTGACAAATTTGCCATTAAAAGAAATATTCTTTAAATTGTAAACAATTCAAGTTTTAATTACCCAAAGAAATCATTGTAATGAGAGTCGACAACGAATTTTCCCGAGCGGGATTTTAGAAACTCTGTCAAATCATTGAGTTTTGCAAGACCAACTTCGTCAAAGCCAGGAGCGTACAGACCTGTTGAAAGATAATTAAATGCAAAAAGTTTATTGGCCTTGAGCTAAGACTCAGTTATGCATGCACTGAAAAATGGATCCATCTATGTTCAAATAACTGCATAGAAAGCATAATGAATGTGTTTATCTTTATTCTTTAATGCTTGCCACAAGTCGCTCGCTAGGTTAGAAATTGGAGAGAAACCGTACGTGGCTAAGAGGGAATGGTCTACAGCGAAGGACTTTGGAAACTCTAAATTGTTCGTAGCATTTTGCCAAACACAATTTCCATGCATGCCTTCATTATAGCGCGACCGCATATTACCGTAAAACCGTTATTAATCAGTTATAATACCATTAATTTAATGGCAATTAGATCCTCTGTAAGTTAGAGGTCCGTTAATTGGAGGTTCTTGCATTTAACAGTTTTATTTAGATACACGGACAAAACCGTTTCCCGTTGGTAGCCGTTGATTTGGCATGTGTAATAATATCAACAAAACATCATGGAGACTATTATTACCTTGGCCAGTGTGTGCACAAAATGATGGATGTGTGTCTTCAACTAGTAGATAGTCCCCAGGCTCCATAAATGGCTCCAAATAACCCAACGTGATTTCCATTGGGACATGGCAGTCTTCAGAGATGAACCAGGGATGAGGAAGCTCCTACGATAAACATACAGTTTGTTGCAGTTAATGGCAACTGCAAAAGCTCTAAATAATGCGTTGTTCACTGTTGTGTTTCACTGTTTACATCAAATAGACCATAGGCGGCGGAACGTGGACTGGAGGGGGCAGCGCTATACCGCTATAGCCCAGATCGGTGGTTTAGTTTTGGTTAATTAAGCCAAATATAGGCCAGGTTAAGTTTGGCCCACGTTAGGGTCGGGGATTGGATGTGGGTTTGGTTTATGATTTTACTGCCTAAAACAACATAAAATAGCCAAAATCTATCTTTATCCCATCAATCCGAATCAACCTGCACCCTGCAATGTGACCTCTCATTATGTAAAAATTTCATTGTCCTCAACGTACACAGGTTTTTATATAAAGAGCCGAGTTTCGACAAAAATCGCCCAACAGTCTAAAAAATTTAAACTGGAACCAAATACCTTCAACATTTTTTCTGGGAAAATTTTCTCCATATCCTTCGTGGCGTCTGCCTTTATAAAGGTGATATCCTCCCTCATTTTTGCCGTTTTATCCAAGCAGTCGTGCGAAATATCGATAGAATAAACGTGAGACTTTATACCAAAACATTTTAATACGTCTGCATACCACAATGCACAGCCCCCGGTATAACTACCAAGTTCAATGACTGTTGCAGGTTTTTCACGGCCAAATAAATCTTGCATGGTAATCAAGTCTAACGGGTTTTTCATTACTTCCACTCCATTCCAGCTTGTCTGGTACTTTCCTTTACAATATATCAATAATAAATCAATTGAACTATCGAGTATATACAATCCCTGGTAATATAGCAGAGGTCACAATTAACGTGTGGTTCTACTGTACAGTCGGGAGAGAAGATCTACTATAAAACGATTTAAAATCGTCGTTGTAAATCGTTTCGTGCAACTATAGTGAAGTAGCCAGGATTTCTAGTCAGAAGGGGCTCAAAAAATCCCAGGAGAGGCCGAATCGCTAAGCAATTTTAGGGAAGCCTCACATATCGATTTTTCCACGAGAGGGGGGGGGGAGGTTGCAGCTGTGACGTTTCTCTGTAAAACATTATGGAAAAATTCGATAGTTTTTCGAAACCCTTAACATTTCGGAATAACATTTGCAGAATATAAACTTGATAACAACTTGATACAGACACCAGTCTATACATTCGTAATACGATACTGGTTCTATACATTTATATTATTACGCCTTCCTTGCATTGAAAACACTCAAATTTCAAGAAAAACGCGCTAAAATTGTCAATATTTCATGCAAAAGACGTTGTTTTGAGAAACGTTGGAAATTTTTAAGTTCATCACAAGATGAAATATTCTAATTCAACTGTCTCGAAGACCGGTCAAATTCAGACGCAGAAAGTTACCTATAAGAACAAAATATAAGAACAAAATATCGATAACTATGTGTGACGTTTCTAAGGCGGGGGGGGGGGGGGTGAGGGAGGTCTCCAGAGAAACGTCAGTTTCTCATGGACAAAATCGATGTGTGCAGGAGGCTTCCCTTACCCTGCGACAATGTTGACAATGAAGAAGTAACTTGGAAAATCATGATTTGCGACTATTACACAGACGCGATTGGTATCGGTCCAATTTAAATGCTATTGCATTTTAATACGGGAAACTTCAAGAATCCGGCAATATTTTGAAAAAACAAACGCGCTCTTCTTTAGTGGTATACTTGTACAACACGAATTATTTAAAGTTGCATATTTCCACATCCCAGCGACGTAACGCTTCGTGGAGCGTCTTGTTCTTTAACAGATAGTCATTGTCAGGCACTCAATGACAAATTTACGATATTTACAATTCAATTGTTTCTAATAAATATCTCAGTGAATATTTATCCCCCTTTAAAACGAAAAACACTTATTGAAATCCTCACAAAATAACTGTTTCAAGGGGTTGAATGCCGTCAAAACATTACAAAAACAATCATACATTTACTCACCCTTGTCCTTGGCCAAACATTCTGAATTGCATTTGGAGAAAATACTTGAATATCTTCTAAACACTTCAAAATTCGCCCCATGTCAATATGAGTAAAATACTCCTTTTATTCAAGCGCTTTCACATCACTCTCACATAGAAAGTTTGGTACGGCGCGAGTAGAAATATTTATTTTGAATTTTTCAAAATATCGGGTTTTCCATTGAAATGAATATAACTCATATAACGGCCTATAAACTGCCTATCTTTTTCTTGAAGCCAAAATCTTACCCCGAGGCGCGTGTCTGGGGGTCAAGACCCGCGTGTTTATATCATGATTGCAGCCTCGTACCCAGGCGCAAATAACGTACTAAAAATAAGCACACTACAGTTGTTTTTATATAGATCAGTGGCTAAGATGAGCGAGCGCGCGGGGGTGCTTGGGGAGGACACGACGGGTCGCTCATCTTAGCCACTGATCTATATAAAAACAACTGTAGTGTGCCTATTTTTAGTACGTTATTTGCTCCTGGGTACGAGACTGTCATGATTGACTGATTGAGCGTTCTTCGCATGCGTGAAAAGAACGCTACACTTGGCCAATAGGAAGCATCCGTAGCCGGATACACGTCAAATCACTCGTATGGGAGCTGTACTTTGACCGATGTTTCCAGACATAGGGTACAAGCATCGCATTGTTTTCATCGAGTAAAGTTGTACTTCCGGTGCAGACGCATCACAACAAACTCAAACGCCGAAGAAATACCAAAATAAAACATTGCACTCTAACTAGCGTTTTGGATTCCGATTCGAACAACACTATTACAAAGAAGATACGTCCCAAGGGACATAACCTTTGACTGTCAAAGGCCATAAATCGTTATAAAGTCTGGTTTCCATATGGTCCGATGGTCGTATAAAGAGTCACGATCTTTCTCAACGGCCAGTTTAGAATAGTTTATAACGCGACATAAAAGAATTTTCTACGGTAATAAACCGCCCTCCCAGATGCGCGAACAAATTCACCGAGTGCCAAAATGGGCTTAAACTTCGCGAGAAAAGTATTAACCGTGAGTAATTAATTAGTGAGAAAATACAATAGAATCACTCATGTGTAACCATCCACATTTCGCAATTTCTCGAGAAGAATTTCACCGTCGTGGAATCAGGCCGAAGTCTTGCGACACATCAAGAAGAAACCCTTTCCATAGATCTAGCTACGCCCCTTCGTATACACCAGCTAGTGAACTGCTACAGCAGTCTGCGCGGTGCGCAGAGGCGAGAGAAACAATCACACTTGTAACCTAGCACTGAGGCTAAGCACGAGGCTAAGCACTACGCTTAAAATATGTATATTATTTAAAAATTCCTCCTTCGGCAAAATTCAACCAACTCCTTCAATATTCCGCTGTTCTATCGAGCGAGGCGCCCGAAATCTTAAACGAAAAAGTATCTATTATTAACCATGCACCTCATTGTTTTTAAGACAGTTCAACTTACCATGACACAGTGTTTTTATCATGTCGAGTGTTAGAACGCTTCGCGTATCCCGTTCTTCAAACTTGACAAAGCGATTTTCATCAATATTCCGGGCTTTGAATGTCTTGTGTGCAGTAACGTAGTCATCTGGATAAGTATTTTGCTCCTTAGTGTGGCCAGACACGTCGGCCATGATAGTAAATACGTTTAGGATTGTCAATCGAGGCAAACAAGGGTACCGTACTTGATGAATAGGTAGCCAGTACAGTCTGTAAAAGTCCTGTCAGCCTCGGACCTCGCACGACCTTCACAGCACTAGTCTAGTGATGGGCGATACCGAGTACTCGGTATTCGATACCAGCGATACCACAAACAGCGGTATCGGTATCGATTACTGACGTGGTATCGTTCGATACTTTTTTTTTTTTTTTTTTTTTATGTATATATATATTAAGCTATTTACAATATTATATTATTATAAGGGCTAGGAGCCTACTAGAAACCTTGACAGGCTTTTTATTAAGGCCCCTAGATTAGGATTAACTATTTATAGTTTTTGGCAGTTCAAAACTTTCAAAACAAAACAATTAATAACTATAGTCTATAATCTTATATACAAAGTTGATTGTTCAATTGATTATACATAGTATATAGCAACGTAAATTACATGTATATATGGAACGCCATACTGATGGACAAAATTACTTTAGGATTATATATGTAAAACTTCTCTCGCGCGTACATCTTATCTGCATTCTTGCAAGACTTGAACACACGCGTATAAAACATCATGCTTCGCGTGTAAATCGGCTACTGTACTAACTGTGCGCAATACTTAGAAATATCCCCGTAAGACTTCTGAATGTGGTCCGGAAGACTTCTAAATGTGGTCCGTAAGACTTCTAAATATGGTCCGTAAGACTTATAAATGTGGTCCGTAAGACTTAGTTTAAATGTGGTCCGTAAGACTTCTAAATATGGTCCGTAAGACTTATAAATGTGGTCCGTAAGACTTATAAATATGGTTCGTAAGACTTATAAATGTGGTCCGTAAGACTTTTAAATGCGGTCCGTAAGACTTCTAAATATGGTCCGTAAGACTTCTAAATGTGGTCCGTAAGACTTCTAAATATGGTCCGAGCGTATAATAATTCTTAGCCGTAATTTAATATGAAAGTATTATATTTTTCGTGAAGTCCGTGCATAATACTTGTTTACATGTTGTCTATAAACTCGAACGTTCTGTGCGTAAGACTTTTAAATAAAGAAATGTGAATTTGTAATGACTTTAACATGAAAACAAAACAATTACAAAATAATTGGACGCCATTATCAAATGTTCAGGAAATATGGAAGGCGAAATAGAAAGGGTTTTGCTATAGGATTACCAGCTTTAAATGAAGAATGCGAAGTTCACAAATTCACAGACGACATTAATACTTGTGAAGTATATGCAGTTTGTGAACTTCGCATTCTTCATTTAAAGCTAGTAATCCTAGCAAAACCCTTTCTATTTCGCCTTCCATATTTCCTGAACATTTGATAATGGCGTCCAATTATTTTGTAATTGTTTTGTTTTCATGTTAAAGTCATTACAAATTCACATTTCTTTATTTAAAAGTCTTACGCACAGAACGTTCGAGTTTATAGACAACATGTAAACAAGTATTATGTACGGACTTCACGAAAAATATAATACTTTCATATTAAATTACGGCTAAGAATTATTACACGCGCGGACCATATTTAGAAGTCTTACGGACCACATTTATAAGTCTTACGGACCATATTTAGAAGTCTTACGGCATTTAAAAGTCTTACGGACCACATTTATAAGTCTTACGGACCATATTTATAAGTCTTACGGACCACATTTAGAAGTCTTACGGGGATATTTCTAAGTATTGCGCACAGTTAGTACAGTAGCCGATTTACACGCGAAGCATGATGTTTTATACGCGTGTGTTCAAGTCTTGCAAGAATGCAGATAAGATGTACGCGCGAGAGAAGTTTTACATATATAATCCTAAAGTAATTTTGTCCAGTATGGCGTTCCATAACACTTGGTGTTTCCACAAACAAAAAGTGTTATATAATTACAAATGTGTTGTTATTTCTCATTCGGCCTTTCGTGTTTAGTTTCCAGACTATCTCAACAATATGAAAAGGTCAAAGCAGAGAAAGGTGGCCATGAGTCGAAGATAGAAGTTCTAAATACGACAATAAATGGGTATAAACAAGAGTTAGAAACATCTTCAGCACAGTGGAAGAAGCATGTCTCTGTTGAAGAACATCTAGATACTGTTAATGAATGCCGAAGGTAAAATTTGCCTTTTTTCATTTTCTTTTATTCAATTGATATTTTTAGTTTAGACCACAGGAAAGTATAGGAGTATACGCTCCTTAAAAAATCTAATATGCATCGTTTTCTATTTTGGGATATGTGGGGTCCTTCCTTAGGCCAAGACAATATATGCGACCTTGTCGAAGATCCTACCACCCTGACCACCAGCTAGACCTGAACAGATGGTATTCCCGCATAACCTCGCCGCCCGAATGATTATATACAATGCCTTGATCCCCTGTCCCAGCCCTTCCCAATTCCTGTACCAGATCAGGCTGAATACAAACACAAAAATTTCTCAATTCTGATTGTTTGAAAGCAGTGCATTTTTATACAAATAACTCTACTCAGTAACTATACAGCCATAAAACCGTATAAAACTACACGGCCATACAACCATAACTATAGAAGCGTATTTACCAAAATATATAATTCAGTGCGATGTTCTGTTGTTTAAGTTGTAGCTAAATGGTTGCTTCATTGGTTATCTGGTTTGTTTGTGTCCTTGTTACTTCTACAGGTACCTATAGCTTATATTTTTTACGAATAGAAAATTAGACGAATTACGAAAAAAGACCCAAGAAGAAATAGATTCTCTTACTTTTCAACTGGAGGTTAGCTAACATCCATTGATTCTCGACTTATATATTCTGCTTCGTTTTTTAACAACTAACTTTGTCTGTGCCATCATTTGTTTCTTTTTAGAGTGCCCGTAACGAAAACAATAGCTTAACTCTGCAGTTATCAGGTACTGATCATTAGGAGTCGCTTTTTTCTAAGGTGTTTTCAGCGCACGTTGTTAATTGTTGCCTGCATCAAAGAGGTCTCGGTGGCGCAATCCTCAGAGCAAGCAGCGCCTTTTCCGTCTGAGTTCGTTGGTACTTGCTGCGGACTCATGACACTTATGTAAAAGCCGCACCGAAAGTCGTGCGTTCTCCCGGTGTGTGTGTGTGACAATGGTGTGACAAAGTGCATGGGCAAAGTGGCAGATATATTGAGGAAAGAAAAAAACTTACGAAACATATTCCTGCTGTACCTTTATTCTATTCGTTATGTTCGTGAATGGTTAAAGGTGATTAGGTCAACATCTCTGGATGAGCATGAAAAGATCAAAACGCGACTGGAAACGGGTTAACTATAACTGCACAACATGAATTATACTTCTGATTCGTCGTCTTATAACCCAACTTCCAGTTTCCACTTTCGTCCTTCGCGGCCACGTTGATTCCTCCGTCGGGCACGACTTCGGCCACGTCCCCCCCCCCCC